GTTTGCTCCATACCTTAGAAGCAAGCCTCGATCGTACTAAGCTGCCTCACATCACTAGGGTTTGTCTGAGTAGCAGATCACGTAAAGTCTGTTTGCAACATGGACATCAGCCTAAGCAAGGTGCGCGGCGTTACAAGCTCTCCTGGAAGCTTCGCCCTCATAAATTCTGCCTCGCGTGATAAGTTCTCTGTGCACATATCGAACCAGCACTTCCACAACCATTTGTTCTGCACTTTAACTCATAAATGAGGCGATACTGTAGTGCCGTATTAAAATGTGGCTTCGAAAGCACACGAGGTATGCGTGCTAGAAATCCAATGTCTTAGGTAAGCTCAGGCTTTTACTCCATGCAAGAAGTCTTTAACAAAGACTAACGTAATAAGCATTAATGCACATGTGTTTGTTTGCTGGAGGCACCTAATTCACGTTCCACTGAGAGCCCTGCCAAGAGCAGACTAATCTCGACCGTTGCCAAAAGCAAGAGTTTAGGAACCACAACTCACAATTTGTCTAAATGCGCGTCAGGTTTACTGCTCAGTAGACACCAGAATGCGGAGGCTCCATTTTTCGCTGACAGCTGTCTAATTAGCAAGCTGATGCGTCTTCTTTGCAGGCTGTTGCATCGCATTCGAAGGGCGAGCTTAATCCCCCTTTTGAGCAAATGTTCTTTTCCCGTCTTAAGTTTGCTTGCGGCTAGGGAAAACAACGTGGGCCGCCACAATGAAATAATATGCAGGAACGCGAGCAGCAATTAGCAGGAATGCGTGAGGAACCAACTGCTAAGCAGAAAAGGCAAACCCTGTCACGAGGCCGCTTTCTCCCCAAGAAGAGCAATTACGCATGCTCTTCCCTTTCGAATCTTGCATATTACTCTTGTTCTTTGTATATCTGACAGCGAGCTGGATGGTTTTTACTTCAATATTTCTCAATGTCATTGAACTCCTCTTCCTCGTGCCTAATTGATACATATTCCAATTTATAATTTCATGCTGTCTCCCATTTGTTGGATAACTTCGGGTCTATCTACTTCCCTATTCATTCTTATTTTAATTTATATATCTGCTTGACATGTGTTTATTGAGCCTAGCTATAGGCCTAATACTTTTGTACATTTCCACGTGCTTTTGAAGTTTTGGCATACGCATATTTTCAATTTTTCATTCTTTTTGTTTTAGCTTCTGTTTGCTCCAAACTCTGCCAAAAATTTCGGCTCAAAATATTTAATTTTACCACTCAATTCGCACATTTTACTCAATATTGGATTTCTTATTGCTTTTATTTGTGTACTGGACATATATTCCCATTCCCTTGAATTCGCTTAAACCATCAGACCTCGATATTCACACTAAATTATATCTTCCCACTTGCTCCATTTGACTTCAGTTTTGTTGAACTATACATGTTCTTATTTTAAGTGTATTTTAATTCAATTTTCGCTTATTTCTTTCCTTTTTATTGTCTTTTTTCTTCAACATTTCGTATGCTTGCTGAGGTATTTATTATTACTCATGCTAGTTACATTTGTTACCCTTTACAATTTTAACTGAACTTTTAGTCTGTATTAATTTCCACGGATTTGTTCAATGCGTCAAATCGTTTTCATAGACGTCCGATGCACAAATCAGTGTCCCTGTATGCAAGACGTGCTTGCGTAACCTTTATGCGCTTGCTCAGGGACAATGCGTGAGAATGCAAGAACACATGCACACTCTTTCTGCCTCATTTTTTGTGCGTCCACGCCGCTGCTGTCAAAATGCGACTGCTGGCTAAACATAGTGAACGCAAAACCAACGCAAAACCAAGGACACCTCTAAAATGAATCAGGCGTAGAATGGAGGAAGGGGAAAAGAGGGACTAGTGAGCGTAGTGATGTACGTAGGGGAGCAGAGAACACAACAGAATAAGGGAACGCATAGGTAGCGGGTGAATGGGACTCCGGGGCTACCTAGGTGTAGCTGTACGTTGACTGCAGCCCATGCAGCGTCGCCACAGGCAGAGGAATGCAAGGCAGCGAGTAATTTTTTCAGCACGTTCCTACGTAGCGAGGCCTTCAGAAGTGTCCCGACACCTAACGAAGCACTGGCTAGCGTCGCTTCTCCCCACTGATCAAAGATATACTCGACTATGAAGCCGTTACTGGCTGGTAGAGCTGCTGGGGGTGACGTAGACAAGGAAGCGGGGGCTTCAAGCTAGGGTCTCTACGGCGGTGGGGCGCAAGCTACGTGACGTGAAAGACGCCAAGGCTCGGAGACCCTTGCTGCTTGTAGTGTGCAAAGCGAGATGCGACCGCATCTGTGCACTCGGTGATGGTAAAAGGCGCTGGGTAGTGCAGCATGAGGTCCTATCCACTGCAAGGATGTGGTGTTGCGAGTAAGACCAAGATATCAGGCTACGTCGGCGTAGTGCACACCTACAAATATTCAGCAGCAGTTTACGGCGCCGAGGCACTGACGTCTTTGCATCTCGTTGGTTAGCGCCTCTAGTCACGCACAAATAGCCTGTATCTTGCCCACTGCCGTAGCGTAGTAATAGGAAGAGTCAGAGCGTGTAGCGTCTGATTTCGCAGCTTGCACGGAGTAGTTCCCGTAAGCGACCCATTCGCAGTCACTGCTAGAATCTCAGGCCTGGGTGCAAAGCTCATGAGTCTAGTTACACTGAAAGTCCTTTCATTACACAAAAAATATACCTAGTTTTTGCACTGAATGTGTATAGTGCAGTCTATACAGCATTCCTAATCACTTGCATGTCGCACTCTACACCTTGGGGATGTGGCTGATGCAGACGAGCAGTGAATGTAGCTACGGCAAGTAGCACAGAGTGAAAACGAAAAATTGACTTGTAGCGCACTTAAGTGCTAGAAAATCCCGAAACAGGTGTCCAACAGCAGTGTATACGAGTTGCTGTGGCCTTGGAGGTTTCGCCCTACGCTTTTGTGGTATGGGAATTCTGGTGGGACTTCGATGCCAAAATGGACCGTTAAAGGCTCAAAATAAGTCTATTTTGCAAAACAGTATTCATAAGGCAAAAATTGGTAGAAAACAGCGCATGGCTCACTGAACCCGACGCAGAAACCCCTTCAGTCAAATGATGCAGCGGCTGTCAGAGCCCCTACGCTTCCTCCGCTCCCGCTTCAAATTAAGACAACCGATATATGCATAGCAAAGATAGAAACAGTATTTAAAGGGAGCATAGCCTCCTAAGATTCTCGCCAAAGAGCAAGACTGAGACCAAGAGTCGCTTCGTGCGTCCAGCACACTTACTCCTTCAACCATCCCTGTGAATTTTCCTCGTGGGACACTCTTTTTCCTAACTGGTCTTTTCCCTCTAGCCCGCTCACTTGATGATCAACTCACGTTGGATCCGTGCTGGGTCCAGTGGTGCTCAGGACCCCGAAACCTCTTTCAATAGAACCTAGTACCAAGGGGGATTGTCGCAAAATATTCAGTAAGATCTGCGACGGGGCATTCGTGAATTGAAGTGGACCTTCCTTAAGCGACAAAAGATCTACACAACTAAAACGTAAGAAGGAAACAGGGGAGTCCGTGTAGTGAGTTAGGCCCAGCTTAGCCCCCTCCTTATTCCTCCTAACCTGCTACATAGGAATGCATTTGCCTCTAGACGGTAAAAACGCCGAGTAACGTCTTGAATAATGACACTGTTGTTGCCATTCCTGTATCCCAGCCCGTTCAAGGAGAACTCTCACCTCTCGGTGTGCGTGTCACTCCTGGCAGCATCTACGAAGTGGCTACCACAACTCCTGGCCTAGTTGTGGAGCACCGTAAAGCTGGTATGTTGGAAGAACCAGTTCTTTCTAAATGAAACAATTCAACTTACACTTCATCCTTACAATAACAATTTTCACAAGCTCTGAAGGTTGTCTCTGCACAGCATTGAAGTGCTGTGCTACGCAGTCAGCGTAATGGATTGGAGGAATGAGGTGTCTCACGTAGTTACTTACAGGGTTGAAACAGGGAAAAAATAGGATTCGGAATACGAAAACAAAGACGCAGGCCATCAGAAGCGTTATCCTGAGGTGCGACTCATCTCCGGAGCAAGCAGTGCTCCAGAGGCACGCACTACAGAGCGTAATAATTAGACGCACACCAAATTTTAACTGGGATTCCAATTTCATGCGTAGTTTATATATCCGGCCTTCCTGTGTTATAACAAATCATCACTGAGAATCTTCCTGTAGAAGCTCCCCTTCGTCGATACCAGTCTGAGCAGCCGCTCTTGCAAGGAGGTGATATTCATAGTTGTCTAGTGCCAGATCTGCCATCAACTTGAACTAAAAGGAGGCATTGCAATTTGCTCTATCCAATTGTAATATTCATGTTAATAGCGAACTTTTGTGGTATCTTTATTTATCATGTGTCTGGGTCGGGTGAGCAAGTTGCTCTTAATGGTGTGGGATCCGCATAGATGGATCATAGATGGATCTCTACATCAGCATGCTACTGACGCTCTTCAACTCTCTCGGTTTGCTGAAGGGCTGTAGTTTTACGGCCGATTTTTAGTTCAGCTTTCGTTTACTATGCGTTGTTATTTTATTAAGCTTCTTTGGGCTGAAGTACTTCATGTTTATTGGTACCGTTTGACTGTTGTACTGGTCCTACGCCTTCTTGAGGTGCCCTTCTCCTTAGAGCCTCTTCTTTGGCGTCCTTCTTCTTGGGGCTTCCTCTTCGACGTTCTCTACGGACTTCTATGGCTTTGTGTAGCCCATTTTGGGGATGCTATGGCATTTCGAGTTGCGGCCGTTTCCCGAATCAGTTTTACACGGGCGTTAATTAACGCCGCTGCGGGGACATTCTCTGGAGCCCGCCCACTTGTTTTTGAGAGTCCTATATTACCGTGTGAGGTATGTATTGTGTAAGGTGGGTCGATGAGAGTAGGGTGCAGGCACTTCAAAACTGCTGTCTCTGTATGAGCTAATTGTGGGCCAATGGCTGCAGTTGCAGCAGCAGCAGGTGTTGCAGCTATTGCTGTGCCTCTAGACCGGCATGTCGTTTAATAGTTCCGACGCCAGCAAGCCAGTAGACGATGCGTGGAGGCGTTGGGAGCCCACCAGTACGGAGGCAAGCCTTGGGGCCCGCGCCGTGCCGCAGGAGGTCAAGGGCGGACCCACTCGCAACAACTTTGTGCCGTCCCACACTGACTCCCTGCAGCTGGCTATGTCTGATCTGACAGAGGGACCCGGTAGCGCCTCCCAGGCCGGCGATGGTGGTCTTCTGGATGTTCGTCCTTCTCCAACGATGACCCGGCGGAGCGTCTCAGTTGCCATCATTACAATGGTCACCATAGGACTCATTGCGGCTCTCTATCGGGACTTCAGAAGCAATTACAGTGTACACAGCACCCCTGGAAGCCCTAGATTTAGGCGATATCTGCACAAACGCTGGCGTGGCATCTTGGGAGCTGTGGATGAGCCCCTTCCAGCGGCTGAGACCGAGGGAACTAAGGACCCTCGGGATTGGATAAAAACGTTTTTCGCTTCACGTGAGGACCCACACGGGTCGACAGTCGACTTGAAAGACAGCCCTCTGCCCTTTCTTTCTGAGGCAGTCGGGGCCCAAGAGCTTCGAGTGCACCTGCAGCGCACGGCGGCCCTGCTGCCTGCGGCGGAGCGCCTAGCATCAATTGTCGATACAGCAGAGGCGTCTTTGCTGTTTCGGGAGCTGAAGGAGCTTGTAATGAAAGCAGCATCTCCACAGGAATTGGACCAGGTGGGCCACTGGACGGCAGCGGAAAGAAAGGAGGAGCAGCTCGGTGCCGTAAAACGGGGCCTTCGTTCGGCTTCAAGCGCGCTGAAGCAGTTGCTGGACGTAGCGGAGGAGAAAGCCTGGACAATATCCCAGAAGGTTGTGCCGTTACCTCGACTTGCGTGTCTGCCAGAGACCCACATAACTTTATTGTGGGGTACCGGCAGTGCGGGCCTCGTTAGTGCCGTCAAGACCTACCTGCGGTCCCTTGTAGAAACCGCCGAAATCGAAGCACGCCGCGCGAAATGGGCATATCGCGAGCTCAGTCGGCACCAGAAAGGCAGGACAGAGGCGAGTGTGGAGACTATAGTGGGAATGAGCAACCGACTCGAGGACATTTACACAGCATCGGCCTTACGCCAAAACGCTGCCCACTTGGCCGCTCTGCTGCAGCATAATGTGTTTCTTTTATGCAAAACGGCAGTCTGCGGTTTTGCCAACAACAGCAAACGCTTGGTTGAAACCTTGCAAAGGTCGCACGAGGTCGCCCTGTCGGTACTGCAGGATATTGTGCACAGCAAAGGGTCCTTGCCGTACGTCCCGGAGGACGAGATGGAGGCGGAGCAGCAGGAAGTGAATGAGCTGTTGCAACAGAACGTAGATACTCTTCGTGCACTTGAAGGGAGCGTCACAATAGAAGCTGTAATGGCTGCAAGTGATCGACTGAACGCCATAGATGAACATCTGACGAGTCTGTCCCGGAGCTTCCAAAAAAAGGCCAAGCACGTAAGAGACCTATCGAAGCACTGTGAGGATGCCTTGCCCAGGCTAAGGGCAGCGAATCTCGAGAACGTAATGGCGGCAAGAACACAAGCGCTGGCGAACGCAAATATCGCTGAGCTGCTATATGAGAAGGCGCGCAAACGCGTAGACAGACGCGCCGAGGGCGTCCTTGGAAAGGGCGGAGGGGAGACCATCACCAGCATCAACGGCGTCCTGTCGCAGCAGCTGCTGGAGAGACTAAGCGCCGAGAAGCGGAGGGCAGCAGACGGCGCAGCGGCAGCCAACAGCTTCGTGGACGGCGCGCAGTTTGCTGAGGATTTTACGTCGATTTTCGATCTTGTCGATATCTCTGATGCGGCGGCGGCAAAGGCATACAAGGCAGCGGCACAGTCGACGTTAGCGTTTGCTGAGTTCACCACTTTGTATTCTCTTGAAATACACTTGAGAGAAAGTATAGACCTGTGGGCCGATGCCTCTGCCCACATACTGCACAGCGGGCCCTCCGTTCGCCGTCGTTATGAGGATCTGAAGGCACAGTTCGCCGACTGGCAGTTTGCCGCCAAGGAGGCGAGGGACATCTCCAGCATTGCCACGGCTGCGGCGGAGATGCGTTCAATCGTCCACCACCTAGAGCAGCTTGTGGACATGGAGACCGCGATACTATAGGGGCGGCCGCTGCTGCTCTGCTGCAGGTGCACCGTTTCTTCCGCTTCAGCTGCTGCTGCGGGGGCAGAATGCCACAGGAGATATGGGACAAAGCAGGGAAGGCTGATGCAGAGACCGGACAGAACACGCAAGGCCCCTTGTTCCAAAGCGTGGCCTTTGATCCTTTGAGGAACACCCGCAGCTGCAGACCTCGTGAAGGCACTTGCAGTTACGCTTGCAGCACTTGCGCTGCTGTGTGTTACCGAGCCGCTGTGCTACGTCGACCCACGCCTTCAGCTACTTACTACATAGAGGGGGAGGGTCACCCTGTAGGATTCATTGGACGTCCTCTCAGCCAGCGCTAGTGCCCCAGTGGAAGCAGGAACACTTATTCGCAAAAATGGGTGGCTCCGCATTGCCCAGTGGATTCAGGCAGAGGCCCGAAGTGACACACATGGCCTAAGTGAGTTACTTGACCGGGCCCTATGCAGCTGCTGTAGACAGCACTCTACTTGTCTGAAGACACTGTTCGCTCTTTCGGGCGCTTGCTAATAATGTGTTCTGTCAGTGATGGCGTTCACTATGGTACTGTATCGTATAGTTTTGTTTCTTCACGTGTACGTTTTCACGTAATACCCCTGCTTGTCCCACCAACGTGTTCCCGCTTACAGTTCAGAATTTCTTCTTCTCACATAGCCTCGGCAAACATAAGAGTACTCTGTTCTTTATCAGCCGACCTCAAGCAGTGCCTCTACTCTTGGCAGACAAACCCTTCCATGGCCTTGGGGCCTCAGCATGCAAGTACGCATAAGTGCAGAATGCAGTTCTAAATAAAATAACTAAGACCTGATGCCGCCACTAACAAAGATGCCGCTTCGGGTTCTGAACTGTTTCCGAATTTGTTAAGGTGGGCACAGCGAGCACAGCACATCAAGTGTCACAGGGTGAATCCCTTGCATCCGCAGCCACTGGTCGGCCAGCTTTGCATACGAGTCTGGGGCCCTGTCCTTCACAGCTCTAGGAGGCCTACGTCGATGGCGCTTGGCGCTGTCTTTCCCTCCAGATACTGCCGCTTCGGTCAATTGTGTTGTGGCTGGCAGTGTAACTGGTGCTTCTGCTGCATCACCTATATCCAAAAAGGGGATGTCCCCTTTAATGCTCCTGTCACCAGAGGACCCCCAGTGCAGCCTGTCTGGTGGCGTTGCTGTTGGACCCCTTGGGGGCTGCCGTGAGACGTCTAGCTCCATCCTGGAGCGCTCAGCCCTCTCAAGCCAGCGGAAGCGGCAGCTCTGCACGTCGAGGTCTCCCACCTTAAAACTGTGAGACCAAACAACAACCAAAACTGCAGACGGTCCAACTACAGGAATGCCCTGTATGTAAGTCGTCAGAGCAAATCTGCTTGTTTCTCAGTAGAAGGGGGTAGGCCTATATGGCAGCAGCGCCGAACTGGGAACACGAGACATACGACCCGTCGAAACTCGAATATTCACGCACAGCCATTCACGTAAACACGATTTGATAGGTACCCCAACGAGCGCGGACAAATGCGTACTGTCTTATACAGGGCTCCTTCATGCCCTCCACTCCGAACTCCGCGGGATCCACCATGCCCACCACAATGCCTTCTGCAGTAATCACACGCAGCAGCCACCCCACTACCATAAAGTCGCTCGTCGCAGCGTACGTATACACGGAAAAAAGCAGTTTGCAAGCGGTGTCCAGTACACTCAAGCAACACTCAAGCAACTTCGCCTGTACTGCAGTGCCAAGTGCCCAAATTGAAGAGAGGGCGACAGAGGGGCAGACACAACACGAAACCAAAAGGCGAAGACGACGTTATGCCCCAGGGAAGGTGTTGCGAGCGGACCACTGCTTTGAACTTCTCCGTTTGGAAGGAGCAACAGAAACGTGTCGATGTGTTGCTGGCCTTCGTTCTTCTCGTCTATTGGAAAGCGTCTGGAGACACATAGCAAAAACAGGCATACACAGCTTAAGGCTTGCGTCGACTCATGGAAACCCCTCTGCCTTCTTTGTAGCGGTTCTCGCTCTCAGCACCCAGTATAGCACACCACCGCGTTTTTCAATGGATTCTCTGCAGCTCATATGCGCTCTGACTCGTCTTTAGGGCTTGCTTCTGAATTTAGGGCTAATCACAGCAGGGAAACTGACGCAATACGCTCATCCCTCCAAGATTGAGCAAGTGGATTTGTCCCTCCAATATGAGGCGCTAATTTGTGCTGGAAGTAAAAACCGTCCGGTGGGTAGAGAAAGGGTCTGGAAAGAGAAGCAGCAACAAGGCGCGACAACAAAGCTACACGCGCTTCACAAACACAAGGCGACCACAATAGATCCACCTGTCTCAAACCCAGAAAACGACGGGCGCATTAAGCGACGAAGGAGCAAACAAAAATACTGGGATAAACAGGAAATACCGACAAAGCAGCACTTCCCCACAGCAACGACGGAGTTCTGCATAAGTTCCTGATGGGCCCGTCAGCAGTTGGCTCCACCGCCAATAGACATCAAAGCGAATGATGGCATAAAGTGAACAAAAAACAACAAAAGTGGAGCCACGCGAATTTCGCAGTCAGTCAATTTCTGGCCGCAATTCATCGCTAAGAGGCGTCTCACCCTGAGAAGAGACATTGCAGCTCAGAAGCCGCAGCATCCACGAAGGGAAGCAGTTGCAGCGGGGCAAACGCGCCTGGAGCTTCATCAATCCTGCGCCGCAGAGCCGAACACACGCGAAAGATCACGCTGCATTTCATTACACAGTCAACGGTAGGAACGTTACACCTACAAACTGCTCCATGTTCTAAGGTCTGGTAAGACTATTTCCTTCCCAATAGTGCTACAAATTTGCAGCCAACTCATCCACATACTATTCCCGGACAGAAGCATACAGCAAGACTTCGGCCCCCGTATCTGTTTAGATGTATGTGCGCGTGTGCATCAACTGTGTCCTACTATACACATACGCTTACGCATACATATTGTGCACGTACGCTTTCCACGGCACGCTGTGACGAACCAATGCTCACAAGCGCTTATAACAGGTGTGCATGTGTACAAGTACTAAACGTTACTGCAGAGAAATGGTAATGCACACGCATGCATATACCGACACGCTTGCAACCACTCGCTATTGGAATGCCGGAAACCCACAGGTTCATGGCTCTCCCTTTCTGCGAGTTGTTCTATGCATTTCCGTCTATTTGCAAATACATCTGATATAATCTTCTTCCGCGAAACACATCTTTGCAAAGAGAGAAGCAAATGCCTTCCAGCAAATACGCACCCGCGAAGCAGATACATCAACTTCATACATCCCACCGCATATTCATTTGGGAACACTTACCTGAGCAAACACACATAATTAAACGCGTAAATATACTTAGAGGTACACACAACTACTTAGAGACCCACATGTACATGACGTACAAAATGTAACACTTGCTTATACTCGTTGAGGCGCGTGCAGATTTGTTTATATATTCATGCATACATGCACGCGGGAGTGCATGTCTACACTGAAACCTCCGTGGATCTGTCGACACGTGCATAGTTATGAGTACACATACAAATGCACATACATGCCTGTAAGTAACTAAACAAGCGCGCATGCATGCCCTTGCAACAGCACACATCTACGTGTGCAAATCACAACGGTTTCTAGACTGATGAGTCGCATCAAGAGCTTAGGGGTTAGGGTTCCGGTAAGCGCGCCTGCTCTTGAGGAAGAAGTGCCGACATTCAAACTCGCAATGGCCAAGCATCAGGCCCCCGAGAAACAAAACATCCACCACAAACAGCACCTGCCACAAAGGGTCCTCAGCACCGACAGTCCCGCCTTCTGCGAACGCTGCAACAGTTTGTGCGCTTTCAACTGCGCCTTCAGCCTCCCCGTAACGCCTGCAGAAGTACTCCATGTTAGCTGGGGTGTATGGGCACAAAATGCACTCTAGAAGTGTCAGACCCTTTGACAAAATCCCCAAAGGCAGATACATCAGCGGTAGTCCCTGTTGCTGCTGCACCCTCCGCCCCTGCTGCAGCTGTCGCTCCTCTTCCTTAGGCTGCTGGTTGCCCAAAGAGAGCTTGTCTACTTGCCGCAAATCGGCACTACGGCTGAAACTGTGGCAGCCCGCAGGTTCCATCACTGCGCCGCCTGTTGCCTCTGCAGCGGGACCGTACAGTGCAACATCGAATTGTCGCGATAGCTCCAACAGCAACCTCTGCTTTTCTTGAGGGTGGATGCAGCTATACACCTCTTTTTCTAGCTCCTCCATCAGCCTGTGCTTCTCCAACGGCAGACTATGCACGTCCTTCCGCTTTTGCAGCAGCTGCGAGAAAAGCGTCGCCGAGCCGCTCATACTCTCCCGCCCTGCTGCTCCTATCGTCACCTGCGCCTGACTGCTGCATTGCACGCGCAGAAGTGGCCTCCCATTCTTACCGAACAAAAACCCGCGACCGTTGCGCAACAACAGCAAACAACTTCGCCCCTCAGGACGCAAAGCCACCATGTACTCGCCTGCAGACAGTAGACACACGCAGAAACAGTAATAGCAACAACTACAGCAACAGTTGCAGAGCTTGGCCATCTGCCAGGCTTGAAAGCACCAGCAGCCTGTTATCGCCGCTGTTCATACAGATATATTGAAGTTATAACAGCAGCTGCGTCCCAAAAAAGCTGACAGCAGCCAGCGGCAAAGCCTCACAACAGTATCATAACCCTACCTGACTTGAGTTCCTCCGGAGCCTCGTAAATTGCTTGTGGGTGGTTAATGAGCTGTTGCAGCGGGCGGCTGTCCATGTTGTCAAGAGAAGCCCTCATACGGTCATCCCTAACCGTGCCATGCACAGTTCTGATCCGGTGCTGTGCCACCTCTGCATCTTCTACATGCTGCTGCAGGTGCAACAGCTCTTCCTGTTGCCGCAGTTCTCTCTCTGCCTCTGCGCGCAGCTGCCGGAGCAGCTCGCCCCGAGCCTCGGACCGCAGCAGATTGTTGAGCTTCAGCCGCTGCCGTCGCACCTCCTCAGATGTCGGGTGGCTCTTGAATGAGGCCTGCCGAAGCGCATAGACTTGGCTGGGGCAGTTGCTTCCCCAGCTACTGCTGCCACTGTTCCTGCGGCCGCTGCTATTCTTGCTGCCGCTGCTGCTGCCGTTGATGGTGAAGCTGCTGATCTCTATCTCTTGTTCCCTGTGCTCTCGCTGCACCAGGACATCCTGCTCGTCTGCGGGCAGTGCCGTAGGGGCGACCTCTGGGTCGCCATGAAGAGCCCTCTCCGCCGCTGCTGCCTCTGCAGTGAGGCAAGGGGGGGTTGCCGGGTGCATCTTTCAACCTTGTCTCAGCAGCGAAGTACAAGAGCTTCTTAGTACACTGTACAGAAGCAACAAGAGGATGCCTTGCGAGACACCCAAACCTTCTTCTCCTCAGACAGCGCAACGCCAACGCCCTGTAGCGAAACGAAGTAGCCCGCTGGAGCAGCAGTAGCTGGATTGCGGTGGTGTCACCTCATACCTGTTGAGGGCACCAGATATTTAATGTTACCTCTCCATTATATATCAGTTAAATCCGCAAAAGGCACTACGCTCTAGAGGCAGCTGCTCGAATCCCATCCATAAAACAAGTCGCAGCCGTTGCATGTTACCCAGCAGCCCTTGCGGCTGCTGCTGTGGCTGCCAAGATGGAAAATGCAGAGATGCGTTGCACTGCGGGTTGTTACTCATCGGTGTAGAAGACGCATGCATACCTTGCTTTTGTCGGCGTTGCAGGGAGAGAGCGTCCTGCTGCAGGGAGCCGCAGCAGTAAAGTATCCGCTGAGGGCTTGGTTGATTGATTCTGGGGGGATCTTGGTAGAAGCAGGAGCAAATCTGGCGCTTGCCTGTCCATATATTTCATATATCTCTCGGCAGCGACTTTGCCGCTGTGGCGGTGGCGCTTTTCAGACAACAAACCGTGCTCTATCCGGAGCAACGGGTGCTAGGGCTCTAGCAGCATCTTCTGTAAGCACTGTACTGGACTATTGTGGACTGTACACCTGAGGGCATAACAGCAGCGTCTCATATCCAGCAGGCGAACGCAGCAGCTGATGCGGCGTGCTCGTAAGGGGGCATCGGGCCACTTTTCACTCCACGCCACTGCGCTGCTTTTGGCTGCATGCGCTGACCCGATGACGGGAGACGGACTTAAGCGCATATAGGGGCAGATGGTGACTGCTCAATGACCCCTATAGGCAGCATCAGCCGCGATACAAACAGCGGCAGTAGCCAGCAGACAATGCAGGAACTGCCGCCATTGCATCTGTTGCAGCCCCCGCACGACCCGCTACTGCTGATGCCTCATGGACAGCAGCAATTCGGTGCTCAGGGACCCCAGCAGCTGCTGCAGACTCAGACCTCTGCGGAGCAGCCGCTCGAGCGGCAGAGCTTGCAGCTGCTTTTGGAACCTCTCTCAGGCTCTGCAACGGAACAGCAAGGCACTCAGGATCAGGTGCTGCAGTCTTCGCTGCTGGCTAATGAGGTACCTCTGCAGCCGCCGCTGGCCCCCAACTGCAGCAGCAGCAGCAGTAGTAGTAGTGGTAAGGAACTTTGTCATCCTACCGATTTTGTTACTCCCAGCACAGTGTCATGCAGCGGCAACAGCTGCAGTCGCAGCGAAAGCAGCAGCAACAGCAGCAGCAGTAAAGTTCCTCTGTCGTCGCAGTTGCCTGGAGGCAGTGGATGCAACAGCGGATTCCTCTTGGGTGCTGGAACCACCGACTCAGTGGCGTCAACTCCTGTAGCCGCGGTAGGCTCTTCTACAAATGCTGCTGGTGCAGCCGCTGGAGCAGTATCTGGTGAGGAAGAACACCAGAAGTCGGGGTCACCAGCATCAGGTGTTGCTGTTCACGCTAATACGGCACCACCAACAGTAGCGGATACGGGAACATCTTGCGCTCCTTCAGCTGCTGTGGCAGCCTTCACACGAGATCTAGCCGCTGGAGTAGATGCCGGCAGAGGAGCAGAAGCTGCAGTAGTAGCAGGAAGGGACGCAGCCGCACATACAGGTGCAGCAGCATCCACTTGTGCACAAGCAGGTGCTACGTTAGTATCAGCTGGTGCTGCAGCATGCGGAACTGGTACCGCAGCTGACGACGGCAGGACCAGCAACCGCCGCAACCATCGCGGCCGCCGCCGGAAGGGTGGCAGCAGCAAGAACCTCAGCAAGCGTGATGGTATCAGTCTTACAAGACGTAACTGCTTGTGCAGTAGTAGCATCCGTTTGCTACCTGCCCGCTTGCTTCCCGTGTCGCTGCTGTATGGAGAGCGGGCTCTCTTCGAGCCACGCATGCATCAGCGACAGCTGGACTATCCTCTGCAGCAGAAGCAGGAGCTGGATGAAGCACCGTACGGTGAGTTGCCGCTGCTGCACCATCTTATAGGCTGTACAGTGTAGTTTTACTTGCACTGCTATGACTGCAGCTGTATCAGCGATCATTGGCGGAAAAAGGCAACAAGATTACTGCGATGTTGCCAATGGCAGCGTTACTGCTGCTTTTGTTCTGCTGTTGCGGCAGTTGATTTTGATGCAACGAACCGGTTTCCCTTGCATCTTCCAGAGATGGACGCGCCGCTGCTTGCAAATGCGCTGGAGCAGGCTGCAGCAGGTGAGCTCTCGTGATTTTGCTGTTCCTTCTCTTATCAGAATGGTGTCGCGAGCCGGCATGCGGGGTCCATAAGAGTTCTTTGCAGTAGGATCGGCTGCTGCACGGTTGCCATGTGGCTGTTACTGCACTTGTCGCTTCTTCAGAGGCTGCTGCTGCGCACCGAGACATCTTTCTCTGGTTCTCAACGCAAAGGCAATTTCCGACGTTTCAGTTCAACAGTCGTAGAGGTGCTTTTCCTACCAGAGTGAATGAAGTAGCAAGTCCTGAAGACGCAGTCGCTGCAGCAGCTGCAGCAGGTGATGCCTGTGGAGACGCCAAGCAAACCGTTGTTGCTGCATCATGCAGGAGCGTTGATAAAGGCGAACTGGCAGGTGACGCTGCGGATATAGAGAACCCAGCTGAGATAACTGCAACAGCAGACCCATCTGCTGATGGCGCTGCGTCCGGTGACGACCCGGAATTTTTGGCCGCAGCATCCACCGCTGCTGTTGAGGCGCAAAAGACAAAAGAAGTTATAGAAGCGCTCCCTGTGCTGCGGACTCTGGAGAGTCTACTTTATCGTCATACTCTGCAGCTGGAACGCCATCGGGAGCCGCTGCTGCCGCGACAGAAGCGGCAGATGCTGCTGTTGTTGCTGCTTCACGTCATCCGTGTGCGGCCTCAGCTGAGGCCAGCGCTGCTCGACCCCCAGGTGTCTGTTGAGAACAAAGAAAAAGTTCTCTCTCTTCTTCTAGTAGAAGTGCTGCTCGTGGCTGGTGGCCAGATGCAGGAGCAGTGCACGCAGATTTTCGAAGACGCAAGGGGAGAGGGCAGCAAGTCCATAGCAGCAGAAGCAGCAGAGGGAAGCAAAATGGGAACGCGGGTGCTGCAACTACTGCAGCGCTTGGGAACTCGAGGTGCTGTTGTTCTGGGGGACGCCAATGTAGCTGCAGCACGCGAGGCGCTGTTGCAAACGGTAACTCATTTATGGGGACAACGGCTGCCTCAACAGCAGCAACAGCAGCAGCAACAGCACCAGGCAGCGCACACGCTGCTGCAGGTGGTGACGCGCTTGGATTCGTTGCCTCCGCACCTGTTGCTGCCACTGCCAAAGCAGCTTCTTGCTGTACGTTTTCCTGCTTCCCAGAACTCTTTGTCTGTCCTTATTCTGTGCTTTCCTTTTGCGTATCTACCATACAGTCGACTTAGCAAGAAAAGCACCAGGAGCGCAGCAAAAAGAACAACATAATACGTGTTGTGCTGCCACATGTGTGTTTATTGGCGCAGCTTCGTGACCAGCCACCCATGCTGCAGCATTTGGGAGTGCAGCTGCTGTTGGCGGAGCGGCAGCCACTGGGTGGTGCTGCTGCTGCCACGAAGTCTGCTGCTGCAACAGACGCGGTGGCAGCTTCTACCGGTGCTGGCAACGTGCAAGCGTCCCTGCCGTCCGCCTCTCCCCAACCGCAGCAACCAGTTGCTTCGTCCGGTCCGGGCCCACGCGTTGCAGACTTGAAGAGCAACGAACAACAACATCAACCACAGCAGAGTGGTGGCAGCAAAAACAGCACTGATGGACAGCAGTTGAAGAAGCCATCACGGAAGGGTAGGAATGGAGCTAGCTCTGTTGCCACTTTATTTCATGAATTGAGTCGTGATGCAGTTGTCGCAATTGTTGTTTATCTGTGACTCAGTGGTTCAACATCTAGCGCTCTTTCTACACGTGGTCTGTGTTATTTTTTGCTGCCCGCCCTCTGTGTTCCTTTGTCTGTGACTTTTTGTGTGTTAATTCCTTACGTTGAGTTCTTTGGCAATTCTTACCGCTGCAGGTGTTGGCATGTCTGGTTGGGCCTTGTTTGCCAAGGAGAAAAGGCTTGAGCTGTTGCAAAATGGACAGCTCACTGGGGAGACGCTGCCAGAGCAGGTGGGGGGACTAGTTGCATCCACGTAGTGGCTGCTGGTGACGCTTCTGCTTCAGTTTTGCGACTGCTTCTTGTGAAAGGCATGAATTTTGGGCCATGTCAGCTGTTTGGAACTCGTGCAGACGAGCTGCGTTGCGAAGTTCTGGCACGCCCTTTCGAAGGACGGAAAGGAAGCGTGGGGCCGCCGTGCCGAGCAGCTCAACAGACTTGCGGGTGAGCAGCTGCTGCGGCATCTTCCGTTGCCACAGCAGTCAGTACTGCTACCGCGAGTGCTGCTTCTCTTATTTTATTGATATTTCTTCTTCTGCCTCCATTGCCGCCTCTTTTTACTTGGTTACCCAGCTTTTTGTTAGGCTGCTGCTGTTCGGGCGCTGCTGCGGTGTGCGTAATCTACGGAAAATGTTACAGTAGCGGCATTTTCACATTTTTAGTGCGCTTCGTTTCTTCTGCTGCAGCAGGGGAGCGGGGCAAGGAGGTTGAAAAAAAGCCGCAGCAGCATAATCAGCAGCCTGGTGGATCCCCTGCAGTTTCATCAACCAGTGCGCAGGCAACACCACAGCAGACTACGCTTCAGAAGATTGCCCCGAAACAGCAGCAGCGGTCAACACCTGTAGGCGCCGGTGGAGCTGAGGAGACATCGCAGCAACCAGCGCAGCAGACACCACCGCCGTCACAGCAGCAGCAGCAGCAACAGCAGCTGCTGGGGTCTGTCGCAAAGAAGAGCCCGCTCACAGGGACGCCCCCAAGAAAGCGAAAGAGAGGAGGACCAGGAGACAAGACAGGGGGC